ACAGAAATTTGCCACCATCAGTGCCCTGGTGCAGGGTGGCTGGGCCTCACATTGGGAAGAAGGATGCAGGTCTTCATGGCAGTACAGAGCACCAATCCCTTTGGACTGGACTCCACTCTGATTCAGGTGCAACTGAGATGCACTGACACAGATATCCAAGGTTCCAGTCACCTGGCATGGGAAGCTTTATGAAAGATTATACCTTAGTCACATGCCAAGAGGCAAAATCTACTTCTCATTAAAGCAGATAAGCCAACTATAACAGCCACTCACTAGCACAGCTTCCCAAAGAGACACAGATAGAGGATGGAGGTCAGGGGAAGCACACACAGGAGAGGACCCTTCTTCCTTATATTGGACATCAGTAATAATCTCTGAATCTCAGATAGGTTCCTGATTACCCATTCCCTTTTTTTGGTCTCAAATTCTTTCTTCAGTAACTTGTTCAGGTGCCCACTGGGTGCTTGTTGCTTCTTTTTCTATGTGTGCATTTGGATGATACTTGCTGGCACAGTGTATCCTCAAGACAGACAAGTGTGGCTGCCTTCCTTGGTTTTGTTTAGATATATTTTCTTTTCTTCTGGGAAGGCCAACCCAGGGAAAAGGCCGTATCATATGGCTTCTGTGGAGAAGTATAGCTGTTACTTCACAGGTTCCTGGCTGATTCTGCTTTAGTTCAGACCCCATGTAATCAGGATGCGTGATACATGGTTTTCGGCAAGAGAATCCAGTTACATGGCCATGGGTCAGTATGCAGAAGGCTTCAAGAGCTGGCATTACCTCCATCATGTTCCCAGCGCCTCTTGGCCTCCAGTGAATAGAACTGGGTGAAATGTAGTGGACTAGTGGTTTATTCACTGAAAAATTCAACTGAGTCTATCTGTAAATTTGTGTCAGATTTGAAAAATAGCTTTGTCCCCCCAAAAATAAAAAAATAAAAGAATATATTTTTTGAAAAAGTTGAAAATACTTTTGTTCTGACAATGAACAACTATATATTGTTTTGAGAAAAGTTTCATCTTATGGTTGAACTAAATTATTTTTTAAGAGGAAACCTGACAATGAAATGATTTTGCTTTGGTTTCTCTATCCAGCTTAGCAAACCAAAATTAACTATTCACATACCTCTACAGAGGAATAAGGGATATAGCATACGTCTACACTGAAGCATGCCTGAACAAACTTACCCTAAACAAATTTACCTTGTTTTGGTAACAATAGTAGTGAAGACACTGCAAGAGAGACTTAATCAAGGGCATCCCATCCCAGTAGGTACCCTGGGTCCTGGATGGGTTTATACAGCTCCATAGTGAACCCTATTATGCTGTGACTGATGTTATCAGTGGCCAGCTAGCTAGGTTAAAGGTAGCTTGGATACATCTACATGGTGCAGGGTAGTCACAACTATTAATTGTAGTGTGGATGTCTGGGGCAGATAGAACCATGCCTTCCTGCATGGTTGGCCTGGTTTAGGAGGAGCTCCAAGCTAGGACTGCTGTTTGTACAGTTTGGATGGAAAACAGGACTGAATGGGTTAAATTAAAGTTTTCTCTTCTCCCTCTTTCTTCAGCTAACAGGATCCCTTATCTATGCTGTTTCCATTGCCGCAATTGGATCGCTCCAGTTTGGCTACAACACTGGAGTCATCAATGCTCCTGAGAAGGTGAGAGAGCATGAGCCAGCTGGGTTTTTGAGGCTTCTGAGCAGACTTACCACCTCCACAGGAACCGCTCTTGTCTTGGGAAACTGCCATGTTCAGGCAGGCGGGAGAGTTATCCTAACCCCTGAGGGTACAAAAGTGAAGGGGAGTGTGGAAAAGGGCAGTGATGTGGTGACAGAGGTGCACGAGGGTCCATCAGGGTCCAGTGTTTGGATAGCTGGCGTTTCCTATCTGAAGTACAAAAGAAGGGAGGGGTACAGAGGGACCATTCCCTTACTGGGAAGATGGAAAGGGAGAGAAATAAGAGACATCTTTGCATTTCTGTGGGAAGGTGGCCATTTTCCCTTTCTGACCACAGTGTTGAAGGTAGTGTGGGAGAGGTGAATTTGGCATCTCGCGGGGAGGGAGTGCTAGTCTTTCTGCACTGGGTGTGGAGGCAGTGCGGGTGCAGAAAGAGTCACAGTTCTGTTCTGATAGGGAATTTTGAAAGTTCACCACTTTGTTTTAGCAGAATTGGAAGGACAGGATCCTTGTCCCTTCTAGGTGAAGGGAGTGCATGAGTCCAACCCATTTGAAGAATTTTCTTTGGGAAAGCATGGCCACCAGGTGGGCTGATTCTAGCTGGTCCTACATTCTGGCTTTCCCATTTTCATGGGAAAGCACCCTATCAAGTGATGTGTCGGTCCTGCCCGTCTGCTGTCCTTTTAACCCACAGCAGCCTCCTCATAGTCAGGGCTTGAGGCACATGGGGAAAAGGAAGGATGACTGGGTGCTCTGACTCAAGAGAGCAGCCCAGGATGGATGAGGGGGTGAGGGAGACAGCGTGTCCCACAAAGAGAGTTGATAGAGGGCTGGGAGGGAAATTCTCAGATTTCATCTGAGAGCTCTTCCTTCCTTCCATTCGTAAAGCTTTAATGCTCATCCCCTTATACACTTCATACCAGTGCCGTAGCAACAAAGTTTGGCGCCTGGGGCAAAGCCTGCAGTGGCAGCCTGCCTTCACCCTTTGCACAGATCTCGGGGGGGAGGTTGTGGAGGGGAGACACACACATGGCCCCCCCTGCTTGCCCAGGAGCCACCGTTTCCCCATCCCTGCACCCCCTCCAAATGAGCCACTTGCAATTCTGTGTCGTCCCCCCGCACACCCCGCTATGGCACTACTTCATAAGTTTTTGTTTCTAATCTTTTAATAATAAAGGTCTAAAAAGTGAAAAATGTCTTTTATGTATGTATATCAGTGTATGTATGCATGTATCTATTTAACCAGTTAGCTATTTTCACTAAAAGCAGAGGGGGAGCTTAGTTCTGAGACTTTACTGGGGAAAGTCCCACAGAATCATTTCAAATTTGTACCAAAAAAACCAAGAAACGAGAAATGAAAAAAAAACCTTGTGATTCTCTTTCCCGTAACTGATATGTAAAACTCCTCCTAGTATTTGCGTCACTGCACACCACATCCAGCCCCCTCCCAGAGTATATGTCATAGCTG